AAACTAGACACTCTAATGTATTTTTCCTTTTGCTCAGTTATGCACCGGGGCCTCCCACTCCTCTTTCTATTCTGGTTAGAGCCAGTTTGCGCTGTTCTGTGAAGGGAGTAGTACACAACGTTGTACGAGATCTTCAGTTCTTCTTTGTTTCTGGCCATTTTGAGCCTGTAATCGAACCCAACAATTGCTGATGCTCCAGATACACAACTAGTCTCAAGAAGGCCAGTTTTATTGCTTCTTTAATCAGCACAACAGTTTTCAGCTGTGCTAACATAATTGCAAAAGGGTTTTCTAATGATCAATTAGCCTTTTTAAAATGATAAACTTGGATTAGCAAACACAACGTGCCATTGGAACACAGGACTGATAGTTGCTGATTTTTTTTTATTTTTTATTTATTTATTTCACCTTTATTTAACCAGGTAAACCAGTTGAGAACAAGTTCTCATTTACAACTGCGACCTGGCCAAGATAAAGCAAAGCAGTGCGATAAAAACAACAACACAGAGTTACATATGGGGTAAAACAAAACAAAGTCAAAAATACAACAGAAATACATATATATACAGTGTGTGCAAATGTAGCAAGTTATGGAGGTAAGGCAATAAATAGGCTATAGTGCAAAATAATTACAATTAGTATTAACACTGGAATGATAGATGTGCAAGAGATGATGTGCAAATAGAGATACTGGGGTACAAATGAGCAAAATAAATAACAATATAGGGATGAGGTAGTTGGGCGGGCTAATTTCAGATGGGCTGTGTACGCCTATGTATATATTCCATTAAAAATCTGCCGTTTCCAGCTACAATAGCCATTTACAACATTAACAATGTCTACACTGTATTTCTGATCAATTTGATGTTATTTTAATGGACAAAAAAATTGCTTTTCTTTCGAAAACAAATACATTTCTAAGTGACCCCAAACTTTTGAACAGTATTGTATTTGTATATAGTTATCTTAGTTATCTTTTGTTTGTTTTTAATCCCATCCTTCAGCTACCCTTAACCGCTCCCATCTATCTCTGAAGACCACCCAAATATATATATATATATATATATATATATATATATATGCGAGAGAAAAAAACGTGAGGGATTGGAAGTGATGCAGACAATTACATTGATGGAAGTTACAATCTATCTGCAATATTAAAGCTGATCTACCCCTAAAAATATAGATTAAAACATAGAATAAAAAAAAGTATCTTCTTCTTATTGGTGTCCTTTAGTAGTAGTTTCTTTGCAGCAATTCGACCACGAAGGCCTGATTCACACAGTCTCCTCTGAACAGTTGATGTTGAGATGTGTCTGTTACTTGAACTCTGTGAAGCATTTATTTGGGCTGCAATTTCTGAGGCTGGTAACTCTAATGAACTTATCCTCTGCAGCAGAGGTAACTCTGGGTCTTCCATTCCTGTGGCCAGTCATCATAGCACTTGATGGTTTTTGTGACTGCACTTCAAGAAAGTTATTTTCCGTATTGACTGACCTTCATGTCTTAAAGTAATGATGGACTGTCGTTTCTCTTTGCTTATTTGAGCTGTTCTTGCCATAATATGGACTTGGTCTTTTACCAAATAGGGCTATCTTCTGTATACCACCCCTACCTTGTCACAACACAACTGATTGGCTCAAATGCTTTAAGAAGGAAATAAATTCCACAAATTAACTTTGAAGAAGGCACACCTGTTAATTGAAATGCATTCCAGGTGACTACCTCATGAAACTGGTTGAGATAATGCCAAGAGTGTGCAAAGCTGTCATCAAGGCAAAGGGTGACTTTGAAGAATGTCAAATACAGTGGGGGAAAAAAGTATTTAGTCAGCCACCAATTGTGCAAGTTCTCCCACTTAAAAAGATGAGAGAGGCCTGTAATTTTCATCATAGGTACACGTCAACTATGACAGACAAATTGAGGGAAAAAAATCCAGAAAATATATAAAATACTTTTTTCCCCCACTGTATATGGTTTTGCTGTTTGTTCTCTCTGTCTGTCTCTGTCTCTCTCCCTCTCACCCTCTCTCTCCCTCTCACCCTCTCTCTCTCTCCCCCTCTCTCCCTCTGTCTGTCTGTCTGTCTGTCTGTCTGTCTGTCTCTCGCGCTCTCGCTCTGTCTGTCTCTCTCTCTCTCTCTGTCCCTCTGTATCTCCCTCCCTCTGTCTCTCTCTATCTCCTTTCTCCCTCTCTCCTCTCTTCCTTCCTCAAGTTGACCTTTCTCTCTCTCTCCTCATGTTAGGCTGTTGTGTGTTATTGTGTTTGTCTGTTTGTTATGAAAAGGGTAATGAACCACACCTGTCTCTGACCTGCAGCGTTCTCCTCCTCCATAAACCAACATGGTTGTTTCGACAAGTAGCCGATGCCTCATGGCCATAGGTCAGGGCTGTGATAGCTGTGGAGTGTGTCTGTGTTGTGTGTCTGTGTCTTTGTTGTGTGTGTGTGTGTTAGTGTGTTGTGTGTCTGTGTCTTTGTTGTGTGTGTGGTGTGTGTGTGTGTGCGAGGGGGCCCCAGGTCAGACAGTACTCTGTCATAGACAGACATTTAGCACTGGGATAGGATTGAGGGGCTGTCGGACGATAAGTTTAAACTTTGAACTCTGATCTACAGCCGACATCTCCATTCTGTCAGTAGCAAGATCAGCTGTGTCTCACCTCCAATAGACATCTCATCTCATTCACCAATGTCTGGCGAACTTGGTGTTATTAGCGCTGTGTGCACTGTTCCTGAGCTTGTCTTGATGTGACCTGTGACCTCCAGTAGAGTTAATCATGGGTACATATTACACTCTCAGAAATCAAGGGTTTAAATTAGTTCTTAAAGGGGTACAAACACTTTTCACTGTAGTGGTACCCTGTAGGTACCCCGTAGTGGTACCCCGTAGTGGTACGTATTTTGTATTTTTATTTATATGTACATAATTGTACCCTTGCAGTTCGTACCTTAAAGAGCCAATATTGTACCTTAAGGGACAGGATGGTGTAGGTACAAAACCATTATTTTAGAAAATATACACATTTGCGTGTTCAGGATACCACCACAGTGACAAAGTCGCTTGTTCCTTTTAAGGGGCAAAAATGTACCTCTGAAAAGGTTTTTGGGTGTTGTTTTAACACTGTAGGGTGAAAAGCCTTATTTGCATATTTCCCATGGTGCCTTTCAAGTGAATTTTAGATTTACCAGTACCACTCATGACTGTGTTGGCTAATGACAGAGACCTGGTTGTTGCATTCAATGGCTATCAGTCCTTTAGCCTTCACCAAGTGAGTGTGTAAGTGAATATTTCATCATTGAAATTAAATTCTTTATTACAATTACATATATCATAAGACCATACTTTGACAGCCAAATGTTTTATTATAAACTGGGTGGTTCGAGCCCTGAATGCTGATTGGCTGACAGCTGTGGTACATCAGACCGTATAAAAACAATTATTTTTACTGCTCTAATTGTCTTTATAATAGCAATAAGGCACCTCAGGGGTTTGTGGTATATGGCCAATATACCACAGCTAAGGGCTGTATCCAGGCACTCCACGTTGCGTCGTGTGTAAGAACAGCCCTTAGCCGTGGTATATTGGCCATATACCACACCCCCTCTGGCCTTATTGTTTAATTATAACCATTGGTTACACGGTTATACAGTAATTGTGCCAGCCCTACCCAACACAGTGGTCTAAAACTCCTGGTTTGCAGGCCACATCGGGCAACTCACATTATGCTGGCTTGCAAAGTGATATGTAATTCCTATTGGAATCAAGACAGATTTATGATATCCAAAAATGTGTGTGTGCGTGCGTGCGTGCGTGCGTGCGTGCGTGTGTGTGTGTGTGTGTGTGTGCATGTGTGTGTGTGTGCACGCAATTCTGTCAGAGGGGCTTAACAGCCTAGCTACAGGATTGTCTTTCCATCTAGTCAAGGGTCTGAGATGGAGTGGCGGAGGAATGAGAGCAATTACTGCATTAGTCAAGGCAATTACACAGTCATCGGGGCCCAGGAGAAGACAGGCTTCAGTTGAACAGAGGGAAGATATTTCATAACTTTTCCCTGGAGGAGGATTGAGTAGAAAGCGCATAGGAAATGGAACACAGAACACACTTCATCAGATTCCACGTTCCATTGACTCCATGTTGGTAAAATATGAAATATTCCTTATATTACCGGATAATTCCAGGATGTCGTGTTTTTCTATTTTATTATTGAATGTTCTTCAACCTTTTTCCAATAACATTCTGGAATTCAATTAGCCACTCGGATAATTGTATTCCTATTCCACGGCCAAAACAGTGCCGTCCCATCATAAGATTTAAATTACCTGATTTAAATGTTGTGCCCAACTCGTTATGACAGAAACTCCTTTTCAGAATGGGCCTTTAGACGTTAATGGCAGAGTAGCAATATGCCCTAATGGTTAGATAAATGAATTAAAAACTAGAGAGTTTCTGGCTCAAATAATTAGTTGTGGTACTTACTTACTCTATAGAATCCCAAGAGCTGGGTACTTGAAGCCGATTGGTCCTGTGAATAACCATTTCCATTAATGGAGAACGGAAATGCCATGCCAAAGAAAGGATTTGTATAGAAACCATTTATACAGCATTTATCTAGTATGCAATTTCCTCCTATTTTTTGTGTCTTGTCTGTTTCGTGGAACTAAATGAGCCATAGTACTTTCAGTTCCGAGGATATTTTATGTCTCTTCTACTGTGCTTCGATGGGAAAGGAGAGGGAATGTGTACAGAAAGGTGACTGGAGTCACATGGCTTTCCTGTGATATACATCAGAGGCTTAATATGTTATAATAACCATAATTTTGAAGCTGTTTTATCTTGATTTTGTGTCTTTCTAACTATGAACTAAAGTTCCTGATAGGTGTAGCTGAGTAGGCACCCATGAATCTGTCCTCTCGGACTTTGATGCTGGCCCTCTCTTGTAATGTGACTCCAGCAACAATGTGGGGGGACACCTAAGGGTAGGGGCCTCCCCTTTTGTCCCAGAAGATGTTCTCCAGGAACCGCTTCAATGGACAACACAGAACAGGTGTCGCCCCCAAAGGGGACGCCAAGGAGAAGGTCCGCAAAAAGAGGGCCCCCAACCCCAGGGTAGCGCTTGTCATCCGGGAGAAGATCCACCGCCTGCTCCAAGGATCCGGCCAGGACCTACCCGCCCCAGACCATAACTATGCTGGGATCGAGGAGGAGGGGGCAGGAGAGGGGCAGGAGAAGAGAAAGGAGGGCACAGATATTTTTGCGAGGTGTGGGCCCAGAGAGGAAGCTTGCTCCTCGAGGGTCCCCAACGGTAAGGCACATGAAGGGGTGTCAGGGGCATCCTGTGTTGGAGAGGTGGAACTGAACAGAGAGGGCTCTGTCAAAATCCCTTGCACTCTGCAGCACAACAGTAGCAGCTGCCAATCTCCAGTGAAGCAGAAATGGATCATCCCGGACGGGATCAGGACTGTCCCGGAACAGAGACGAACACCCAAACACCAGAAATGGATCATCCCGGCAGGGATCCGAACAATCCCAGAACGCAGAAGAGAAGCTCAACACCAGAACCGGATTGGTCCAAACATGAACGGTTCTGGGTTTGGTGCAGTGGCAGGAGCAGCAGGGGGTAAGGCTGAATTCACTCGGACACGTGGAGAACCAAAAAGGCCTGTTTCTATGGGCGACTATGTGGATTACAGAACTCGGCATGATACTCTGCTGGAGGAGGATGAGGAAGAAGAGTCTAGCGCCATCATCGAGCACATCCTAAAGGAGCTAAGAGGGATCAACAAGATCCAGGAGGAGATCTCAGACCTGCGGGACTACCTTACTTCCGTCCGTGGCTCTGTAGAGGAGGTATCTTCCTGTGTGGATGCTGTGCTCCTGGAGATAGAGGGCATTCGCTCCGGAAACAAGGCCAGTGGCAGTCCAGGGGATGGGGCTTGGTCTGGGGCAGCAGGGGGCAGCGACGGGTCCCTCTTCACCCCTCGCCAGAGGCCTGTCAGCGCATATGGCAGTTTGGGCAGGCAGATGGAGCCTTTAGATTCCAATGTCTGCCGACTGTCCGTCTTCAGCGAACGCCACAGCATCCACGGAATGCCCGCTGAGATCCATTTGCCAACGTTAGAAGAAACGTCTACCACAGTCTCGCCAGGCACAGAGTCAGTGGAGCTTGAGGGCCAGGAACAGGAGAAGGGGGAGCCGGAGGATACGTCGGAACACAGCTCAGACATCCCAGAACCCACCATAGTCGGGAAACTGAGCTTTAGCTACCTGGAGCAGCAGGACGGCCAGGACTGCCCCAGCACCAGCTCCCTGTCCTCAGGACATAGCCCCAATTCAGAGTCTGACCTCGAGAGGCCCTTGTCCAGACACGGCACAGGGCGTGGTGGGGCTAGTGGTGGTAGTAGTAGGGGTGGTGGGGTGGAGGGCTTGGGCGGTGCTGGCCCAAAGCATGGTGAGACTGGGGAGGCTAGGTGGCATGAAGAAGGCTCTTACTCCAGACAGGGGAGTCTGGAAGAGCAGGAGGGAGAGGAGCCTGCCTGCGTGGAGGGGACAGAGAGCTGGGATCGGTACAGGGGCTCAGGGGGGTATAGTACCGGTACCCTGGGCCAGTCTTCCACAGGAAGCTCGGACCACCTCTCCCTCCAGTCTGGACTACACTACAACCCCGCCAGCACCTCCAGCCATGAAGAGTGGCGCGCCCATAGACGGAGGCCAAAACCACAGCCTGGTACTCAACTTCCGACCGATGCCCACCCAGAGAGCCACCGCCTGGGGTACGAGTGTGCCGCTGATTACTCATATCACCAGAGCTCCGGTTACCACTCAGTGGAAGGACATACTAATGAGGTGGAAGGGTACGGCTACGCAGATCCCAGCTACACAACTGACTGCAAAGTTGATAGTTACCAGGAGACTTATTCTGGCTATGAGTGTGGCATGACTGAAGAGTCTACAGATGGAACTTGTACCTGGACTGAGAACTCCTTACTGAGCCACCCCACTGCGGTTGAAACAGACATGCCATTGGTCAGAGGGGATAAAACAGGAATGTCATTGGTCAGAGGGGAGGAAAGAGTTATGCCAGACCTGGATGGCCGCCTCCCTCGCCCTAACAGCACAGAGATCCAAAACATGGGTTTTAACGTGAAGCGGATCGGCCAAGCTGTGCTGGACTTCAGTTCTGCCCTGCGGGGTGCGCTACGCAAGCTGGAAGAACCCGGAACCGCCCAGAGTCCTGGAGTCGAGAACGAGATGGAGCTACCCACAAGCCTCTTTGTTGAGCCTCAAATGGACTTACCCCATGCAGATATGTCTCAAATGTTCCAAGAAGATGGGGTGAACCCAGGGGCCACGGACGACACAGAGGGACAGACCCAGACCAGTGTCCTTTCCTCTGCTCCCTCAGACCCCTGCCCTAGTGAACCCCTGCCAGAAGAGATCAGCGACAGCCTCCCACAGGACCATGATGACCCTTGCGAGTCCTCTCCCCTTCCCTACCCTGGACAAGGTGTTTCCCACCCAGGCCTTTCCTCACCTGGCCCAGAGCCTACCTTCTCCCCGCCCCATATAGAATCAGAGGAAAAGGGACTGTCTCCTCTGCCCCAGGGCCCAACAGACGCCCCCACTCTCAACACCTCGCTATCGCAATGCACCACTGCAGAGTCCCTCTCGCTTTCCTTCTCAACTGAGGAGCCGGCACCCCAGGAGAAGCAGGGAGACGAACCCCCACCGCTGTCACCGCCGCAGCCCAGCACAGACGCAGAAGTCCCAGATACCCCTGCAGCCCCTGAGGGCGAGGCAGCGAGAGAGGCAGAAGCAGAGGGAGTGGAGGAGCACCCCATGGAGAGGAGCCAGAAGTGCCTGAGGACCTTCCAGCAGATGCTGCGGGAGAAGAGGGAGACGCGGCACCAGCTCACCAGCATGACCATGTCCACGTTCGAGGAGAACGACCTCATCACAGGTAGCTATCACCTACCAGACGTCTCTGCCATCCATCGGACTGTTACTCATTAAGCACTGTCTGGAACAAGAGCACATGTTCATCACCTGGTTATAATTTTTTCACTGACACACGTCTACATACTCATTTTGTTTCCGTCTCTGTGCTGTAAGTGTTTGCATGAGCAAAAACTTGTACTATATTTTTCTTTGTTGACTTCTGAATCCTCATCTTCCTTCGCTTATCTTTTTTTGTCTCCTCAGGCCTCAGCATGTTTTCTGTTTGAGTTTAGTACATTTTTCTTCTTATATTAAAAACAATCTATCATTTTGAATGTTTCTCATCTCGTGGAAGAATCTAGAGCTATTTTCTGAGCTTTTTTCTGTGCGCCATACCATTGTTATATTGTTTTCTGAGAAATCGACACTTCCAAAGAAACCTCAGATAGTTTTCAGACGACCTTTTTAATGATCAAAGCCCCCTATTCTTTTATAACAATCCCTTAAATATCTTCACCATCTTCATCAGTGGCTTTTAAAAAGGCTTTTGCTTTGTTCATCACCAGAACTAATCTTCTACGGTATTATTTTTGTCTCATAATTAAAGCGGCAATCAGCGGTAAAAACAATATCAAAGGAACTCCCTGACCCTATTTTGGTAAAAAGCTGAGGAATGGGGCTGGATAAATGTAACCACTCTCACATTCATAGACAGAGCTATGGATGCATGATATCAAAGTTATAGTTGTAACCATGTTTTGTGGCTATATAGTTTTTGTCTACATTTACTTTGTTCACAAACATTGAATTAATACAAGCTTATATTTTGGGTTCTGATGGGGTACAACAGTTTAAATGAATTTATTATAAGTCCAAAAAATGATGTGGCAACTGCTGATTGCCCCTTCCATTGACTTCAATGTCACTTATTTCACATACAGTACATTCGGAAAGTATTCAGACCCCTTGACTTTGTCCACATTTTGTTACGTTACAGCCTTATTCTCAACTGAATTTAAAAAAAAAATCCTCATCAATCTACACACAATACCCCATAATGGCAAAGCAAAAACAGTTTTTTGCAAGTTTATAAAAATTTTAAAACTGAAATATAACATTTACATAAGTATTCAGACCCTTTACTCAGTACTTTGCTGAAGCACCTTTGGCAGCAATTACAGCTTTGAGTCTTCTTGGGTATGACGCTACAAGCTTGGCACACCTGTATTTGGGGAGTTTCTCCCATTCTTCTCTGCAGATCCTCTCAAGCTCTGTCAGGTTGGATGGGGAGTGTCGCTGCACAGCTATTTTCAGGTCTCTCCAGAGATGTTAGATCGGGTTCAAGTCCGGGCTCTGGCTGGGCCACTCAAGGACATTCAGAGACTTGTCCCGAAGCCACTCCTACGTTGTTTTGGCTGTGTGCATAGGGTCATTGTCCTGTTGGAAGGTGAACCTTGCCTCAGTCTGAGGTCCAGAGCGCTCTGGAGCAGGTTTTCATCAAGGATCTCTCTGTACATTGCTCCGTTCATCTTTCCCTCGATCCTGACTAGTCTCCCAGTCCCTGCCACTGAAAAACATCCCCACAGCATGATGCTGCCACCACCATGCTTCACCGTAGGGATGGTGCAATGTTTCCTCCAGACGTGACCATACTCTACCATAAAGGCTTGATTGGTGGAGTGCTGCAGAGATGGTCCATCTGGAAGGTTCTCCCATCTCCACAGAGGAACTCTGGAGCTCTGTCAGGGTGACCATCGGGTTCTTGGTCACCTCACTGACCAAGGCCCTTCTGCCCCGATTGCAGTTTGGTCGGGCGGCCAGCTCTAGGAAGAGTCTTGGTGGTTCCAAACGTATTCCATTTAAGAATGATGGAGGCCACTGTGTTCTTGGGGACCCTCAATGCTGCAGACATTTTTTTGGTACCCTTCCCCAGATCTGTGCCTCAACACAATCCTGTCTCGGATCTCTACGGACAATTTCTTCGACCTCATGGCTTGGTTTTTGCTCTGACATGCACTGTCAACTGTGGGACCTTATATAGACAGGTGTGTGCCTTTCCAAATCATGTCCAATCAATTGAATTTACCACAGGTGGACCCTAATCAAGTTGTAGAAAAATCTCAAGGATGATCAATGGAAACAGGATGCACCTGAGCTCAATTTCGAGTCTCATAGCAAAAGTTCTCAATACTTATGTACAGTTGAAGTCAGAAGTTTACATACAACTTAGCCAAATACATTTAAACTCAGTTTTTCACAATTCCTGACATTTAATCCTAGTAAAAAATCCCTGTCTTAGGTCAGTTAGGATCACCACTTTATTTTAAGAATGTGAAATGTCAGAATACTTGTAGAGAGAATGATTTATTTCAGCTTTTATTTATTTCATCCCATTCCCAGTGGGTCAGAAGTTTACATACACTCAATTAGTATTTGGTAGCATTGCCTTTAAATTGTTTAACTTGGGTCAATCGTTTCGGGTAGCCTTCCACAAGCTTCCCACAATAAGTTGGGTGAATTTTGGCCCATTCCTCCTGACAGATACTTATTTCCCTCATTCAAATGCAAATCAATTTATAACATTTTTGACATGCGTTTTTCTGGATTTTTTTTGTTGTTATTCCATCTCTCACTGTTCAAATAAACCTACCATTAAAATTATACACTGATCATTTCTTTGTCAGTGGGCAAACGTACAAAATCAGCAGGGGATCAAATACTTTTTTCCCTCACTGTATATGCCCCATTTGGAGCAATGCATCACCACCCTCCATTCTAGGAGCAGTATGGCCATTTACTGGATTAAAAACATTACTTATCTCCTATGAAAGTAGGGTCTGATATTAAAGAGGAAGAGGAAGGATTAGGAGTCATTTTCATGATGAATTATACATGTTGATGAAACATTCATGACCTCAGTTCCTGTCTATCTCTGTCTCACTGTGGGCCTATTTTACCATTACCCTCCCAGCATCACAACTGTAGCATTTTACTGCAAATGGATCAGCTGGAAGTTGTTCTATTTACTTTAACTGCTTAGTTGATGACTCTGCCTCCCTCTCTGTCTCTCTGTCTCTCTCTCTCCTCTCTTTCAGATGGAAGTCAAGATGATCAGGTCACTTTTTGTCGTCTTAAAGTCTATTTTTCTAATGTCAATGTCTTTTATACGCATGTCCTCATAACTGGTGTGTTTTGAAGTTGACTAATCTTGCTCATGAGTTACTACCTCTGTGTTACATGGCAACATCAAGTAGTATTACCTAAATTGCTTCCTTCAGTTGGTTTGTCTCTTGGTGGTGATTTTAACCTTTATCCCTTTATGATCTTGTCGATGCTTGTTTTCCTTGTTCACCCTATCAGTCCCGAGACCCCAGCGAAAATCCACTTTTCATTTATCTGACTTTCATTTGTCTGCCAGTCCAACCCCTTTATTTAGCCTCACAATTAAGTGTTTTACCATTTTAGTTTCAGGACAACCAGGGCTACAAGTAAAACACACAACTATTTGACATAATCAGTTGCATTCGTGAGTTTTATTGACAAATGTCAATAAAAAAAAAAAGGTCAACCAAAGCAAAAACCTGATCAAAAAGAATTTACATGAATGATGTAAGTACAGAAATGGTTTGCTCACTGGGAAATTAATATCCAACTAGTCAGTGACAACTGTGTGGAGTTTGGAGTTTGTGACTGCAACTAAATGTGAGCTTATTACAGTATTATAGACACTATGATATTCTATGTAGAAGAACCCCTTACCGTCTAACAACTGTTGTGAGCAAAACATGTTACACGTGTGTGTTTGTGAGAGTAATCTTTTCATAGATAGCTTTGAATAGTTTGTAGCTCAAACCATTTGGACTCTACAGATGTTCTTGTAATAAAAACCGGCACTGGCCCCTTCGGGATCCGCCCTTGTCTCACAAACAACGCTCTAGCTCAGCCCACTTTAATCACACAGACTAGCGGTTGGTATCTACGGCTGCAGAAGAAGTAGCCGAATCCATTGGGGTACAACCCAGAAGTCAAACACACAATGTTTAAAAGGGGTTAGAAGTCCAAAACGTGCCGGCATTACGGTGGGACTCATTGGGTTAACTCTCTCAGCATTACGGTGGGACTCATTGGGTTAACTCTCTCAGCATTACGGTGGGACTCATTGGGTTAGCTCTCTCAGCATTACGGTGGGACTCATTGGGTTAACTCTCTCAGCATTACGGTGGGACTCATTGGGTTAACTCTCTCAGCATTACGGTGGGACTCATTGGGTTAACTCTCTCAGCATTACGGTGGGACTCATTGGGTTAACTCTCTCAGCATTACGGTGGGACTCATTGGGTTAACTCTCTCAGCATTACGGTGGGACTCATTGGGTTAACTCTCTCAGCATTACGGTGGGACTCATTGGGTTAACTCTCTCAGCATTACGGTGGGACTCATTGGGTTAACTCTCTCAGCATTACGGTGGGACTCATTGGGTTAACTCTCTCAGCATTACGGTGGGACTCATTGGGTTAACTCTCTCAGCATACGGTGGGACTCATTGGGTTAACTCTCTCAGCATCACGGTGGGACTCATTGGGTTAACTCTCTCAGCATTACGGTGGGACTCATTGGGTTAACTCTCTCAGCATTACGGTGGGACTCATTGGGTTAACTCTCTCAGCATTACGGTGGGACTCATTGGGTTAACTCTCTCAGCATTACGGTGGGACTCATTGGGTTAACTCTCTCAGCATTACGGTGGGACTCATTGGGTTAACTCTCTCAGCATTACGGTGGGACTCATTGGGTTAACTCTTCAGCATTACGGTGGGACTCATTGGGGTAAAGGAGTTGAGGGCAGCAGGTAGCTTAGTGGTTAAGAGCGTAGTGCCAGTAACCGAAAGGTCGCTGGTTCTAATCCCAGAGCCGACTAGGTGAAAAATCTGTCGATGTGCCCTTGAGCAAGGCACTTAACCCTAATTGCTCCTGTAAGTCGCTCTGGATAAGAGCGTCTGCTAAATGACCAAAAAAACAAAAACAAAACAAACAACATTAAAGCACAGGATATAGGTATCAGGGTTTCACTTCAACTGTAGCATATTTCAAGTTTTGCTGTAAATGCAGTAGTTCTAATGGTTACGAGGTTGAAAGACACCAATCACAGCTGAATAGGCCATTATTGACCGCATGTTGAACATACATACACCCTTCAGTAGAAATTGGAGGGACATCAATATGGCATGGGATAGTATTGATGATGATCGATTGTTTCTTGACAGGGCCCGCAAAAAGTGTATTTGAAAAGGAAAGGTGCGTGGGTGGGTGGGTGCGTGGGTGGGTGCGTGGGTGGGTGGGTGGGTGGGTGGGTGGGGGTTATCAGTACCCTATTCTGTGCTGCTTCATGTGCAGTTGATGATGCTCACTCATCCAACCATCGGTGTGTTTGTTTGGCGATGAGAATCCTCTTTGGCATGCTTCAGAGAAACTCAACCAACCCAGTCCAACCGCTCTTTCTTTATCTCTGATTCTGCCGTGATATTATGTGTACATGTTCTATTACCACAACCTCTATGAGAACTGTCAGTCTCAGTGGCTAAATGTCTGACCTTTGACCTCGATTACAGGGCCGAGATGGAGACCCCAGCCAGCACCCGTGGGCCAAGCCTGGGTCAGTGACACTGCCTGTGTGTGTGTCTGTCTGTCTGTCTGTACATATTCAAGTGGACTGGAGTCCAACCACCAGCAATGATGACCTCCTAATAGATTTGGTATTTTGTTATATCTTGTTTTGTTTTGAACTGTGTGTGTTTAGTGGTGCCACGCCCTTTGGGATCGACAGCATGCCTGACCTCCGCAAGAGACGGCCTATCCCCCTGGTCAGCGAGCTGGTGAGTTTCTCTGACCTCTGACCTCTTCACCTTTCACTCCTGAACTTAACAGTTCCTCAGACAGACGGCAATATAAAGATGTACCTTTAGTAAATAACCGAATAGGACCTCTATAATGTCAAAAGAAAATACTATTGCAAAAATATAAAGTACAAAGAACTACAGGGACAGTGTACAGTAGTGCATGCTGTTTTAAGTTGCTGGTTATGGCAGGGTATTGTATTTGTACACATTATCCTGCACCTTGCAGATTAAAAACTTCACTGAAGGCCGTTCTGTTTCCAAGTGTGGTATATTTACACTACCAGTCAAAAGTTTGGACACACCTACTCACTCAGGGCTATCGTCTGTATACCTTGTCACAACACAACACTGATTGGCTCAAATGCAATAAGAAGGAAAGAAATTCCACAAATAAGAAGGCACACCTGTTAATTGAAATACATTCCAGGTGACTACCTCATGAAGCCGGTTGAGAGAATGCCAACCGTGTGCAAAGCTGTCATCAAGGCAAAGGGTGGCTGCTTTGAAGAATCTCAAATATAAAATATATTTTGATTTGTTTAACACTTTTTTGGTTACTACATGATTCCATATGTGTTATTTCATAGTTTTGATGTCTTCATTATTATTCTACAATGTTGAAAATAGTAAAAAATAAAGAAAAACCCTTGATGAGTAGGTGTGTCCAAAATGTTTGACCGGTAGTGTATGTGTCACTAAAGAAAATCCATTGACCTTTCTTCTCCTCAAGTGTCTCAGAGCTGAACGAAGTCTGACTGTGTTTTGAAGTGTTTCTAAGTGTTGAATGTTTGATGTGGGAGAGCTACTCTCTGAGGAACACCTGTCTTCTTTTGATTCTCTAACCTTTTTTTTTTCTTTCTCATTCTTTCTCCTCCCGCACCCTGTCACTCTCTTCCCAGGCGATGGTAAGTGTATATCAGTGAGCTCAACACAGCCGATAACATGCATGTGTGACCAACGGCTTCACTCTGAACTCAACACTAAGTCCATAGAGACACTACTGTAGGCCTGCTATGTGGTTTAGGCACTGTGTTATTCCACTCCACAAGGTCCTTAATGACCTGCTTTCCCTTGTCAAAAACAGGAGGGAAAAAACCCACATGTTTTTACAGTACGACGCTAGTCTGACACCTACTTCACAACAAGTACACATGACACACATTATAATCCTGTCCATCTCTTCTCCCACACACACACACAGGCTTTCATATGCTGTAGCACTCAGTGACAAAACGAACGCACAGGCTTTCATATGCTGTAGCACTCAGTGACAAAACGAACGCACAGGCTTTCATATGCTGTAGCACTCAGTGACAAAACGAACGCACAGGCTTTCATATGCTGTAGCACTCAGTGACAAAACGAACGCACAGGCTTTCATATGCTGTAGCACTCAGTGACAAAACGAAAAGCAGAGTGGAGTCTTTGTTTGTCTTTTTTCTCTCCCCAGAGCAGCCATTTTAGCCATATAGTGGGAAACAGCTGACGACATTGATTAGCTTGTTTAGCAGGGAGCAGACAGACAGACAGACAGACAGACAGACAGGTTCTTAGCATGTTTATGCGGTTGTCAGACAGTCCACTGTGGAGGAGAGAGGGAACCAGACACACAGGGACATATCAGAGCACCGCTAAGCGCGAAGAACTGCTAACATGTTGATGATCTGTCCTTAGACAACTACAGTCTGAGTCATATGCACAACAGGCTCTATCCTGACCCATAGAAACATTTAGCCTGAAATCCAGAACCTGTTTTGCTTACATTCCACTCCATGTCCTCCGTGTCATACAAAGGAGTGGAATGATAACAGACTGGTACCCAGGCTAAGAAACATTATCCCCTGTACACACATTTGCAGAAGAAGAACAACTCCACCTGCTTTCACAAGTGAAGGTGTGCAGATAACATCCCGTCCCTTACCCCCATTAAAATTAGGCTTCCTATTTGACAGTGTATCCAAAACATTTAACCAACCTTCAGAATTAAAATATTACATATCTGTGTGAACTAAAGCCACAGTTATTGTATTAGTACATAATAAACCTCTCTTCTGTCCTCAATCCTCTCTCGCTTCTCTCTCTCTTCTCTCTCTCTCTCTTCTCTCTCCCGCTCTCTTCTCTCTCTCAGTCCATGTTGCAGGCCAGGAAGGCTGGGCTCTCTATGGCTACAAAGACGTCCCTCAAGGACCAGGAGCTGGTGAGAGAGACACACACATACACACACACACCGTTCACCACTTGTTAATCTATTCAGTCTGACCTTTCCTTGGTCATCTTGTGTGAAGTGCTGTCCTGTGTGAGGTGTGAGTTTATAAATAGCATAGTGTGGCTTTCCCTGGTACAGTACTCTCCCTCTTTCTTTCTCTCTCTCTTCCTCTCTCCCTCTCCCTTATGCCCCTCTCCCTACCTCTCCCTCCCTCTCCCTCTCTCCCTACTTCTCCCTCTCTCCCTACCTCTTCCCCTCTCCCTACCTCTCCCCCTCTCCCTACTTCTCCCTCTCTCCCTACCTCTCCCCCTCTCCCTACCTCTCCCCCTCTCCCTACCTCTCCCCCTTATCCCTCTTCCCTTCTGCCTACCTCTCCCCTTCTCCCTACCTCTCCCCCTCTCCTACCTCTCCCCCTTATCACTCTCCCCCTCTCCCTACTTCTCCCCCGTACCCTCTCCCCCTCTCCCCTACCTCTCCCCCTCTCCCTACCTCTCCCCTCTCCCTACCTCTCTCCCTCCCCTCTCCCTACCTCTCTCCCTCCCCTCTCCTCCTCTCTCCTTCCCCTCTCCCTACCTCTCCCCCTCTCCCTACCTCTCCCCCTCCCCCTCTCCCTAACTCTATTACCTCTCTCCCTACCTCTCTCCCTGCCCCTCTCCCTACCGCTCCCTACCCTCTCTCCCTACCTCTCCCCCTCTCCCTACCTCTCCCTGCCCCTCTTCCTCTCTCCCTCTCCATACCTCTCTCCCTCCCCCTACCTCTCTCCCTGACCCCATATTCCTGTCACATTCTGAGAAGAACTTCCTCTCATCTCCTCACCTTGCTTCTCCTGATGACTGATGGTGACTCATATATTTTGTAAGGGCGGCAGGTAGCTTAGTGGTTAAGAGCGTTGTGCCAGTAACCGAAAGGTCGCTGGTTCTAATCCCCGAGCCGACTAGGTGAAAAATCTGTCGGTGCCCTTGAGCAAGGCACTTAACCCTAATTGCTCCTGTAAGTCGCTCTGGATAAGAGCGTCTGCTAAATGACAAAAAATGTAAAAAAAATGTAAAAAATGTAACATTCCAGTTCTAACCAAACAAACAATAGAGGGTTCTGTGTGCATCTCGACTCTGCTCTGCATTACCCACTATCACTGACACCTAAATACTGCACCTGACTAAACATTGTCTGTTTCCCTCTCTGTTTCCCTCTCTGTTTCTCTCTCTGTTTCCCTCTCTGTTCCCCCCCTCCTGTTCCCCTTTTTCTTCTCCCTCTCTCCTTTTCTCTCTCTTCTCCCTCCCCTTTTCCCCCCTCTCTCTCTCCCTCTCCCCTTTTCTTTTCTCCTCTCTCTCCTCTTCCTCTTTCCCCTCTTCTCTTTTCTCTCTTTTCCCCCTTTTCCCCCTCCTCTCTCCCTTCCCCTTCCCCCCTTTTTTCCCTTTTCTTTCCCCCCCCCCTTTTTCCCTCTCTCCCCCACTTCTCCTCCTCCTCCTCCCCCTTTTTCCCCTTCTCCCCCTCCTCCCCTTTTCTCTCCCTCCCCCCCTCCTTTTCCTTTCCCCCCCCTTTTCCCCCCCCCGATATTTTTTTTCCTTTTTCAAAAATTTTTTTCTCTACCCCCCCCTTTCCCCCCTTCCCTTCCCTCCCCCCCCCTCCCCCCCCTTTTTCCCCCCCTTTTTCCCCCCCCCTTTTTTTTCATCCCTTTTCCCCCCCTTCTCCCTCCTCTCTCTCTTTCCTTCCCCCCCTTTCCCCCCCCCCTTTTACAAAAACCCGTATAAAAGATGCGGCCTGAAACCCCTTCCCCCCCCCTGCCCTTTCCGGTTTTCCTCCTCCCACCCCCTCTCATGGGGGGGGCTTTCTCCCCCCCTAAACTGATTTTCCAAAATTTACAAATGCCGGCCTCAACCCCCTCTTTTTAAAAAAAGGGGGGGAAAAGGGGTTTTTTTGGGGGGGGGAAGGGGGGCTGGGGAAAAAAAGGGTTGAAAAAGGGGGGGGGGAGGTTAAAGAGAGGCGTTTTTGGGGGGGCGGGAAACACAAAGGAGGGGGCCCCGGGGTTTCCCCTTTTTTTTAGTTAGGTTTGGGGGAAATTTTGGGGTTTCTCCGGAATTTTTATTTTACCCGGGGGGGGCCCCCTTTTCCCGGGTTTTTTTGGGGGAAAAACCCGGGGGGGGAAATGGTTTTTAAGGTAAAAACCCCCTGTGGGGAAGGGCCCAATGGAAACAAAAGGGGCTTTCCTACAAAGCGCTAAAAGCCGTTTGGGGTTTTAACCCTTCCCTTTAAACATAAGAAATGAATTCCATTTTTGGTTTAGGGTTTTTAAAATTTTTTTTAAAAAAGTTTCCCTTTTTGGAAAAAAAATTAAAAAAAACATGGGTTTTTTTTTTCCCCTTTTCCCTTTTTTTTTTTGGTTTCTTTTCCTCTGGAAACCGTTATTAAGAACGAAGTCAAACCAAATTTGCCCCAAAACCCCGGGGGGGGGGGGGAAAAATGGGTGGGTTGCAGCCCCGCCCCCCCCCCCACCCCCCCCCCCCCCCCCCCCCCCCCCCCCCCCCCTATATGTTAATGTCTTAATATATGCAAATACACCCGGTGAATCTATGCAAATGAGCCACATATCCTTTTCTTTATTTGAACACAAAATATAAAAAGAATACTGGATACAATAACAAAATGTATATATGAGTGCATTATATGAAAAAAATAAGTGAAATTTGACAACCATTAATTATTTGTCCGTGCCAGTAAAATGTTTTATGTGCTATAATCATCTGATGGATTACAAAAATTCTAAAAGTTTGGAGTATCTCCATCCATTGTAAATTGCTTTGGATAAAAGCGTCTGCTAAATGGCATAGATTATTATTATTATTTTTATATATTGTCCAACTTTTGCATTTATTAGAATTGTTTTTTAAAACCTTTTAACAATTTTGATTACTGTTGCTAGTGTAACTCTCCCTCTCCTTTCCAATCCCCCTCTCCTCTCCTCCCCTCTCTCATCCCCTCTCTCCTCCCCTCTCTCCTCCCCGCTCTCATCCCCTCTCTCCTCCCCTCTCTCCTCCCCTCTCTCATCCCCTCTCTCCTCCCCTCTCTCCTCCCCTCTCTCCTCCCCTCTCTCCAGGGGCAGCTGAGAAGAGCTCTAAGACGGGAGCAGAGGACCGGACCCAGCACATCATCACAGCTATGAAGGACAGGATGAAGATCAGGGAGAGGAACAAGCCTGAGATCTTTGAGGAGATCAGGGCTGTGTTCGGTGTCACTAAGCTGCTCCATGCACAGCAGATGAAGACCATCAAACAGAGCGTGTTAGACGGAACCTCCAAGTGGTCCGCCAAGATCACCATCACTGGTAGGTATTGTACAGCAACACTGTACCACACCACGCTGCAACACTGTACCACACCGCACTGCAACACTGTACCACACTGCACTGCAACACTGTACCACACCGCACTGCAACACTGTACCACACCGCACTGCAACACTGTACCACACCGCACTGCAACACTGTACCACACTGCACTGCAACACTGTACCACACCGCACTGCAACACTGTACCACACCGCAGAACGGCTGTCAACAGTTTAGTGAAATACACTACATTACCAAAAGTATGTGGACACCTGCTCATCGAACATCTCATTCCAAAATCATGGGCATTAATATGGAGTTGGTCCCCCCTTTGGCTGCTATAACAGCCTCCGATCTTCTGGGAAGGCTTTCCACTAGATGTTGGAACATTGCTGCAGGGACTTGCTTCCATTCAGGCACAAGAGCATTAGTGAGGTTGGGCACTGATTTTGGTCGATTAGGCCTGGCTCACAGTCAGCGTTCCAATTCATCCCAAAGGTGTTTGATGGGGTTGAGGTCAGGGCTTTGTGCAGGCCAGTTAAGTTCTTCCACACCGATCTCGACAAACCATTTCTGTATGGACCTCGCTTTGTGCACGGGGGCATTGTCATGCTGAAACAGGAAAGGGCCTTCCCCAAACTGTTGCCACAAAGTTGGAAGCACAGAATCGTCTAGAATGTCATTGTATGCTGTAGCATTAAGATTTCCCTTCACTGGAACTAAGGGGCCTAGTCCGAACCATGAAAAACAGCCCCAGACCATTATTCCTCCTCCACCAAACTTTACAGTTGGCACTATGCATTCTCCTGGCACCGTCAAACCCAGATTCGTCCGTCGGACTGCCAGATGGTGAAGCATGAGTCATCACTCCAGAGAACACGTTTCCACTGCTCCAGAGTCCAATGGCGGCGAGCTTTACACTACTCCTGCCGACGCTTAGCATTGCGCATAGTGATCTTAGGCTTGTGTGCGGCTGCTCGGCCATGGAAACCCGTTTCATGAAGCTCCAGACGAACAGTTCTTGTGCTGATGTTGCTTCCAGTGGCAGTTTGGAACTCAGTAGTGAGTGTTGCAACCGAGGACAGATGATTTTTACGCACTGCACGCTTCGGCACTCGGCAGTCCCGTTCTGTGAGCTTGTGTGGCCTACCACTTTGCGGCTGAGCCGTTGTTGCTCCTAAACATTTCCACTTCACAATAACAGCACTTACAGTTTACCGGGGCAGCTCTAGCAGGGCAGAAATGTGATGTACTGACTTGTTGGAAAGGAGGCATCCTATGACGGTGCCACGTTGAAAGTCACTGAGCTCTTCAGTATGGGCCATTCTACTGCCAATGTTTGTCTATGGAGATTGCATGGCTGTGTACTCGATTTTATACACCTGTCAGCAGCAGGTGTGGCTGAAATTGCCGAATCCACTCATTTGAAGGGGTGTCCACATACTTCTGTATATATAGTGTATGTTTCGTTGCAAAAACAGGTTACTATTGATGTTCCAGAACAGTGGTTGACGCGTGGAGTGAAATAAGTGCTCTTATATTTATTTCTCAGCTGCTCATATTAAGCACAGGCTCCGCTATAAAATCGAAGTAGCATCATTATCATCATCAACCCGGCATCATTGAAAAACGGACTAGCGGGAAAGCACGCAGCCTCCATTCGCTATTCGAGTACATACTGATGACATGTATTTTTTCCCTTGCCCCTGATCCTGTCCATTTTTTTTATTAATGGGCCATTCTAAATCTAAACTAATTTGACATATTAGTAAAGACAAGATTACATTGAGAATAGTCTGATGGGTTTAAAATGTGATCATTTGATGAGAGAACAGCTGTGCAGCCTGAGGCAAGGAACCGAGAGCAAGCTTTTTTTTGCGACTTTCTCAACTCAATAGCCTGTAGTCGCATCATGCAGCCCATAGATGTTTTGATTATAAGGTTTGTATCATTCACAACTAAAGTTGCCAAATAACTCTAAATCTAGTTTATAGGATCTGTTTCAAATGATCACTTTTACAACAAACAGTAGCCACTTCATATGCGCACTCGCTCCAGAATGGGGAAAAATATCCTTTCTATTTTATTCAGCTGAGTTCAATTATACTTCTTCTTACTATAAAATCATATAATATAAAATAATGGCACGGGACTTATAAGCATATATTTTCAGCTAAATGAACAAGCCTACGGCCTATGGCATGGAACATTGCCAGATAACATACAGTAGGCCATGTAAGTTTCCCTGCATTAAAGTCCCCGGCCACTAGGAGCGCCGCCTCTGGATGAGCGTTTTCCTGTTTGCTTATGGCCTTATACAGCTAATTGAGAGCGGTCTTAGTGCCAGCATCGGTTTGTGATGGTAAATAGACAGCTACGAAAAATATAGATGAAAACTCTCTTGGTAAATAGTGTGTTCTACAGCTTATCGTGATATACTCAACCTCAGGAGAGTAATACCTCGAGACTTCCTTAATATTAGATTTTGTGCACCAGCTGTTGTTTACAAATAGACACAGACCACCACCCCTTGTCTTACCGGAGGCGGCTGTTCTATCTTGCCAATGCAGTGTAAACCCCGCCAGCTGTATGTTATCCATGTCGTCGTTCAGCCACGACTCGGTGAAACATAAGATATTACAGTTTTTAATGTCCCGTTGGATATTCGTGATCGTAGCTCGTCCATTTTGTTATCCAATGATTGTACGTTGGCTAATAGGACTGATGGTAGACGCAGATGATCCACTCGCCGTCGGATCCTTACAAGGCACCCCGACCTACGTCCCCGATATCTCTGTCTCTTTCTCCTGCGAATGACAGGGGCCTTGTCGGGTGTCTGAAGTAAATCCTTCGCGTCCGACATGTTAAAGAAAAAATCTTCGTCCAGTACGAGGTGAGTAATCGCGGTCCTGATATCCAGAAGATCTTTTCGGTCATAAGAGACGGTGGCAGAAACATTATGTACAAAATAAGTTACAAATAACGCGAAACAACACACAATAGCACAATTGGTTAGGAGCCCGTAAAACGGCAGCCATCTCCTCCGGCGCCATTATAAATAGATTAATATATTTAGTGGTTTAATTTAAATAGATTAATGTATTTAGTGGTTTAGTTTAAATAGATGAATGTATTTAGTGGTTTAGTTTAAATAGATTAATGTTGTTAGTGGTTTAGTTTAAATAGATTAATGTATTTAGTGGTTTAATTTAAATACATATTACACTATTATTAAAAAACACTTTTTAACCAGGTCTCTAAGCGACTGTAACACCCCATAACTTTACCACCTGTAGTGACTTTGCTGGTACTCAGATACTCAGATACCCATAATAATAACCAACTATTCTCCAATCTATAACATTTTGGGCCATCAAGTGTTTATCAACCAACTGCCTGATGATCAACCAACTGCCTGATGATCAACCAACTGCCTGATGATCAACCAACTGCCTGATGATCAACCAACTGCCTGATGATCAACCAACTGCCTGATAAACATTTGATGGCCCAAATGTAATCGTTTGTCAAGTTTAGTTGCAGTGAAGTTACACAGTTGAATTAGCAACCGTTTCTTGTGTTGGCCTGCTGAGCAAAGCCTGCTACTCCTTGGTCTTAGATAGGGAATCAAAGAGGGAGGGAATCAAAGGTCTGTTAAAGGGTGTGTGACTAAAAACATCATAGTGATTTGATATCACTGCACAGATAGGCTACTGAAATCATGTTTGTTTGTTGTTTATCGGTCTAAATGTTGTTTGTTTATCGGTCTAAATGAAAGGGTTAGCAACACATTTATTCCATGGTTATCAACATGGCTTTAAAGACACCTGGCAGAGCTTTACCGCTCACAGCATTTCTCCTCCTACCTCCCGGGCCGCCGGGATGCCAACAGCAAAGGTAGGGGGGGGGGCTTTGTGCATTAATCTCTGTGGTTATATTCCCTTCAATAGAATGCTAAATTGAAGCTAGAATAGAATATTAGTATTATTATAGTATTATTAATAATGTTTATTTTATTCATATGACCAAAACACAAGAGTATTCATTGGAATTGGACATGGACTAAAAGCGAATTGGTGAGAAATGGTTTTATAACATCAGCCAGCCCATCAGTGACGATGACTCATTCAATAATCTGCTGTGGTTTTGCTGAACGGTGTGTATGGGTGGGTGACATGGTGAGGTGACATGGTGAGGTGACATTCTGCGTGTGTATCTTCATGGACCTCTACGTCTGTCATTGCCTTTTCATCAAATTGAATCTATGCTTACGTGAAATAACGTGTTTGTGTGTGTGTGTGTGCGTGTGTGTGCCTGTGCGTGTGTGTGCATATTCATATGCGTGTGTGTTTGTGTGTGTGTGCGTGTGTGTGCCTGTGTGTCTGTGTGCGTGTGCGTGTCTGTGTGTGTGTTTCTGTTAGTCCTCAGTGCTCAGGGTCTCCAGGCTAAAGACAGGACAGGTTCCAGTGACCCCTACGTGACCATCCAGGTGGGGAAGACCAAGAAGAGGACCAAGACCATCTACGGAAACCTCAACCCTGTCTGGGAGGAGAAGTTCAACTTGTAAGGCTTCTCATACCTTCTCTCTTTATCCTCCTCTTCTTCACCCTCTTCCTCTTCACATTCTCCCTTCCCTCCTCCTCTTCACTCACTCTCCTCCTCCTTCTCCTCCTTCTCCTCCTCCTCCTCCTCCTCCTTCTCCACCTTCTCCTCCTCCTCCTCTCTCTCCCTTCTCCTCCTATGTGCCTAGATATCAGTGAAGGTTTAGTCATAAATTGCCAGTTGTTAATGTACAGTATGAATAAAGATACTTAACAGTTAAATGAACCGTAATCTTCCCTGTCCCTGCTCCTCTTCAGTGAGTGCCACAACACGTCGGACCGTATCAAGCTGCGTGTTTGGGACGAGGACGATGACATCAAGTCCAGGGTGAAACAGCGTCTGAAGAGGGAGTCAGATGACTTCCTGGGTCAGAGCATCATCGAGGTCAGAACACTCAGCGGAGAGATGGACGTCTGGTACAACCTGGGTACGGAGTCACATACAGTACCTACCACCACTGTGTGTTTTTTGGAGGGGGGTTGTGTGTGTGTGGTGCATGTGTGTGTCTGTGTGTTTTTTGGAGAGGGGTTGTGTGTGTGTCTGTCTTTGTGCGGGTGTGCACGTGTGTGTGCGCGTGTGTGCGTGCGCGTTGTTGTGTGTGTGTGTGTGTGTGTGTGTGTGTGGTGCATGCTCAACCACACTTACTGCTCTTCCCAGCCAATGACAGTAGACCCAATACCCCCAGTCTTCTTGTTATATATAATATATCATATATATTTATCATATAATAAACAATAAGCTGTCAGCCCAGTATGACATCAAAGAGCCAGCACTGAAAAACCATTCTCTACTAGAGAACTCTGCCTTCTCTATTTAAAGTGGAACTGTCAACATTTTAGCAACAATAAGTCTTATTCAAATCTGTTTGTATACACCCCCAGGAAGAATATGACACTTTTTAAAAAACATTTTCTGACAAGCGAGCACTTAGATATGGTTAATTTCACGCTTTCGTAAATTCTTAGAACGTTTGGGAATTATGTATACTAAGGCATTTGTGAAAATTCTTTAGCAATATAGAGTGGGAAAGCGGCCGTACGTTTGGACAATTAATAGACACTGCAGTAAATAAAACCGAATAAAAACATCTGTCTCGTCCAGGACCTGAGTCACTGTTGCACAATAGAAAGAACAAACTAAATGTAATTACTGTAAAATTGACTGTGTCCATAAAATGTTGAGAGTGGGTATGGGCTGGAAGTAGAGGCCTAGGCGTTGTTGTTCTCTAATATACTCCAAGTGGGGAAAGGGTGGCGGGGTTGGAAAGTAATAAAGGGGAATATATATATATATATATATATATATTTAAGTGTATGTATGTATGTATGTATGTATGTATGTATGTATATATATATATATATATATATATAATGTATGTATGTATATATATGTATGTATATATATACAGTGGGGAGAACAAGTATTTGATACACTGCTGATTTTGCAGGTTTTCCTACTTACAAAGCATGTAGAGGTCTGTCATTTTTATCATAGGTACACTTCAACTGTGAGAGACGGAATCTAAAACAAAAATCCAGAAAATCACATTGTATGATTTTTAAGAAATTAATTTGCATTTTATTGCATGACATAAGTATTTGATACATCAGAAAAGCAGAACTTAATATTTGGTACAGAAACCTTTGTTTGCAATTACAGAGATCGTACGTTTCCTGTAGGTCTTGACCAGGTTTGCACACACTGCAGCAGGGATTTTGGCTCACTCCTCCATACAGACCTTCTCCAGATCCTTCAGGTTTCGGGGCTGTCGCTGGGCAATACGGACTTTCAGCTCCCTCCAAAGATGTTCTATTGGTTTCAGGTCTGGAGACTGGCTAGGCCACTCCAGGAGCTTGAAATGCTTCTTACGGAGCCACTCCTTAGTTGCCCTGGCTGTGTGTTTCGGGTCGTTGTCATGCTGGAAGACCCAGCCACGACCCATCTTCAATGCTCTTACTGAGGGAAGGAGGATGTTGGCCAAGATCTCGCGATACATGGCCCCATCCATCCTCCCCTCAATACGGTGCAGTCGTCCTGTCCCCTTTGCAGAAAAGCATCCCCAAAGAATGATGTTTCCACCTCCATGCTTCACGGTTGGGATGGTGTTCTTGGGGTTGTACTCATCCTTCTTCTTCCTCCAAACACGGCGAGTGGAATTTAGACCAAAAAGCTCTATTTTTGTCTCATCAGACCACATGACCTTCTCCCATTCTTCCTCTGGATCATCCAGATGGTCATTGGCAAACTTCAGACGGGCCCGGACATGCGCTGGCTTGAGCAGGGGGACCTTGCGTGCGCTGCAGGATTTTAATCCATGACGGCGTAGTGTGTTACTAATGGTTTTCTTTGAGACTGTGGTACCAGCTCTCTTCCGGTCATTGACCAGGTCCTGCCGTGTAGTTCTGGGCTGATCCCTCACCTTCTTCATGATCATTGATGCCCCACGAGGTGAGATCTTGCATGGAGCCCCAGACCAAGGGTGATTGACCGTCATCTTGAACTTCTTCCATTTTCTAATAATTGCGCCAACAGTTGTTGCCTTCTCACCAAGCTGCTTGCTTATTGTCCTGTAGCCCATCCCAGCCTTGTGCAGGTCTACAATTGTATCCCTGATGTCCTTACACAGGTGTCTTTTATACAGGTAACGAGTTCAAACAGGTGCAGTTAATACAGGTAATGAGTGGAGAAACAGGAGGGCTTCTTAAAGAAAACTAACAGGTCTGTGAGAGCCAGGAATTCTTACTGGTTGGTAGGTGATCAAATACTTATGTCATGCAATAAAATGCAAATGAATTACTTAAAAATCATACAATGTGATTTTCTGGATTTTTGTCTCTCACAGACCTCTACATGCTTTGTAAGTAGGAAAACCTGCAAAATCGGCAGTGTATCAAATACTTGTTCTCCCCACTGTGTGTGTGTGTGTGTGTGTGTGTGTGTGTATATATATATATATATATATATATATATATATATATATATATATAAACATGGGGGATTGGAAGTGATGCAGACAATTACATTGATGGAAGTTACAATCTATCTGCAATATTAAGCTGACCCAATAAAAAAAAATAAAAAATAAAAAAGCCATTTGCCACACAGAGCTGCCATCATTCACTTTGAACTGGACTGTGTGTTTACAGGCAGTTGCAACAGCGCGACTTTAGACAATTAGAACGCATTCGCCAAAAGCCACAAAATACGCCTGAATGGATTTCTGCAATTATGTCAATACCACGGGAGTCCTCTTACATTTGGGGACATTCCAGATTATGTCAATACCACGGGAGTCCTCTTACATTTGGGGACATTCCAGTCCTATGATCAAACAACCATGAAAATGAAGGTTCTCTCTCCCTCAGTTATGCACATCAACAACAACAATATCAACAACTAATGCTAGCCAGAGCACAATGAGCTAAAAATCTAATGAAGGTACATTAGATAAACCCTCTCAAACTTTTTCAGCTAGTTAGCCATCAAAACTGCAATGATAAACGATGGGGAATTGTAGCCTACTCTTCCTTCTGCAACCAAGCACCCAAGTTAACTGTGGCTAAAGTTGGCTAGCTTGCTAGCTAGCTACTTCCAGAGACAAATGAGAGAACACCTCACTCTGACCATTTTACTCACAGTAGCAGAGCTGGTTAGCTAGGTTGTTTACATGTTATCTAGAGCGTTCTTGACTAACTATAACTTTTTTTTTTGCCTACGTTTACTGACACCGGTCATATTCAGCGGGTGTTGCGCGTTCGTAAATTCATCAGTTATTCTACGCTCTGCTGCACTCAGATGAGAGTGCTCTGAAATCGGAGTAGATTTGCGAACTGGATAAGTCGTTCGGGTTCTTGCTAGCTAACCAAATGACACAGGCATCTCTAGCTGTGTATAGCCACTGAAAAATTATATGAGGGGAAAAAGTCAGTCACTCCTCCAATGACATGACATCCTCCTAGCAGCTAGCTCGCTATCTAGCTAATGTTAGGCTCCATGTTTTTAGCTTGCTACATAAATAGATACGCTAGCCTATTAGCCACGTTATGACTGACTTGTGATCGTTGCCCTTGCTAGTTTGATTGTATTGACATTCCCAGCCTTGGTTACATTCGTCCGTTTTTGTCCAAAATATTTAGTCATTGAAACTGAAACAGTGCATCCTGAATGGAGGCAGCAAAACATTTACCAGGCCAGCTGTGATTTACAACCTGATAGCAATATTTTTGGGACTACCAACAAATGTATTGGTGAATTATATTAATCATGCATTGAACTGTATCCATCTATTCTGCCAACAATGCCTTAGTGTACGTTATAGAACCTTGAGTCAAATATAACCTTTTTTTTTTTAAACCTCTCATGAAGTTGGTTTTGTAGCATAAACTGGGAATTTGATATTTTTGACTGATATTATGATTGTCTGTTTGTTTCAAGTCTACAAAGTAGTTAAAACGCTGTCAGTTGCACTTTAAGAAAGTGTTTGTCTGACTTCTTTAACCACATACTAGCAGCAGGAACACTTGACGTTGTGTCACACTAATAACATCACAATGATGGATAGATTATATACTTAGCTAGGCCACTGTCCACTTTGAGCTTTCTGTTTTTTTATACAGACAATATACATTTTAAAAGCATTGTATATAATAATTATTTGAAGAGAGTGAGGCTGTGTGTTTTTTCATGAGGTCAAAAACTCTCTCTCTCTCTCTCTCTCTCCCTCTCTCTCCCTATCTCTCTCTTCCTCCCTCTCCCTCTCTCTCCCCATCTCTCTTTCTCCCCCCCCCCCCCCCCCCCCCACTCTCGCGCTCTCTCTCTCCTCTCTCTCATAAAGATTTGTCCCTAACGACAGGTCATTCACTCTGTGTTCCTCCTTGCCTCATTAATATTCATGAGCTGAGACCAGACAGAGTGCTCTGATTGGCAGCAGCAGCCATTTCACATATTTTAGAATCTGAGGGGAACCAGTAGCGGCGTCTCCACTGATAAATATTCAGCAGCATCTGCCCTGACTGGCTGACTGGCTCAGTGAGGAGGGAGGAAGGGAAAGATAGATGGAAGAGCCGGAGGGAGGTTTCTGTTAACTGTCTAGGAAAAAGACTGCTAAAGAGCACCAAACCAATCAGTTTTAACCGTGGACTGCCTAACTGTCTGGCTTTGATTGTTTGTATGCATTTGATTGTGTCATTGCATAGCCGTATGTTCTAGCCGTATTCTTCCCCTCTTTTGGGTCGGTCTGTCTGTCTGTCTGTCTGTCTGACGATGGTGTCCTCTGTAGGTCTGTCCGTGTGTCTCTTGCTCTGATGTCTGAGCTGAGCTGACAGTGTGTATTGTGGTGTCTATGTCGTCTGTCTGACAGTGGGTATCCGTGGTCTCTCACTACAAGATAGGACTGATAAGTCCGCATGTCTGGGGCCAGTTGAGAGGATCATGGAGATTGAAGGGGAGGGAAAGTACGCCGTTACATCCAGAAAACACCAGCCTGCAACGAGGTAACGCATTTATAACCCGCTCAGTACACCATCCTGCCTGACTGGTAATCCATTTATACATGCTCTATTACAACACAGCCTGCACGCCGGTAAACCATTTACCTTTGCCAGTAACAGCCTGCCGGTCACATTTATACATGCTACATCCTGCCGACAGTGGTAACACTTTATACCACGCGTCAGTCGACCAGCCTGTACTAGGTAACACTATTCCTGCTCGTAACCAGCTGTACGGTAACACATTCCACCAAGAGTAACCACCGCAGGTAGCCATATTATAATCCATGCTGCATAAAGCCGCGAAGAGTCGATATTTCCACGCTCAGTACACCAGCCTGCACGAGGTAACACATATTATACCACGCTCAGTACACCAGCCTGCACGAGGTAACACATATTATACCACGCTCAGTACACCAGCCTGTACGAGGTAACACATATTATACCACGCTCAGTACACCAGCCTGCACGAGGTAACACATATTATACCACGCTCAGTACACCAGCCTGCACGAGGTAACACTTTATACCACCTCATACACCAGCCTGACGAGGTAACACTAGTTATACCACGCTCAGTAACCACCACCATCCCACAGGTAACACATATTATACCACGCTCAGTACACCAACCTGTACGAGGTAACATACACGTACACACACACACACACACACACACACACACACACTGACTACACAATGCATAGAAACAGATACAAAACATGTTTGCCTCTCTCCTCTAGAACATGTTCCATTACTCTACTGACGTGGTGGGTCAGGGGGTAGTGAAGGTGCCTGTTGCCTGTGGAGACGATGCGTGGAAGGTCTACTTTGATGAGGTGCAGCAGGATATCGTAGATGAATTCGCCATGCGCTACGGCATCGAGTCCATCTACCAGGCCATGACGTAAGTCTGCTGGGAACTCAGTGTGTGTGTGCACAGTTTATTTTCAATCTTCCAATCCTCTACTACAGGGGTATTCCAATCTTACCCGACGAGGTCAGGACTATTGCTATTCTCATCTACCTGATAATGAATTGCAGCCACCTGGTGTCTCAGGTCTAAATCAGTCCCTGATAAGAAGGAAGAATGAGAAAAAGCTTCCAGGTCCGGTTTGAATTAGATGGTTCTGTTCTATAACTGTCACTTTGGATAGAAACAGAAAGTGTTGCTAAGGCGTCTGCAGTCATGAGCCCCATGCAGATTGGAGTTATGAGCCCCATGCAGATTGGAGTTATGAGCCCCATGCAGATTGGAGTTATGAGCCCCATGCAGATTGGAGTTAGCAGATTGGAGTTATGAGCCCCATGCAGATTAGGGTTATGAGCCCCATGCAGATTGGAGTTCTGAGCCCCATGCAGATTGGAGTTATGAGCCCCATGCAGATTGGAGTTATGAGCCCCATGCAGATTGGAGTTATGAGCCCCATGCAGATTGGAGTTATGAGCCCCATGCAGATTGGTTGATCTTTTAATGAGAAATGATGACACGGTTGTCATGGCAATTGTCCCGGACTTCCGAGGTTAATATTGGATGACCCCAGACAGGTAGACCGTGGAGCAGACTCATCAATCACACGTCTCAGTCCGGACCACAGGAGGTTGGTGGCACCTTAATTGGGGAGGACGAGCTCGTGGTAATGCTTTGAGCGGAAGGAGTGGAATGGTATCAAATACAATACAAAACACCATGGTTTTCCAGGTGTTTGATGCCATTCCATTTGCTCGTTTCCCGAATTATTAGAGCATTTCCCCTCGCGCCCCACTGGTCCGGACCTGTCACTCACACTCCACAATTTTTACGACAATGATGCACACAACCGCCCCCAAGAGACAGTCAGGATTCATTTTCCCCTCTCATTTTGTGACTTTTTAAAAGGGGAGACATTCTTATTTTTTTCCCAAACCCAAAAATTTTTTTAAAAAAAAAAAAAAGAAAAAGGGAAAAAAAAGAAAAAGAAAGAAAAAAGGAGGGGAGGAGGGGAGGGGGAGGGGGGGAAGAGAGAAAAAGGGGAGAGAGAGGGGAAGCAGGGGGGGGGGAGCGGGAAAGGGGGGGGGGGAAGGAGGGGGAGGGAGGAAAAGAAAAGGGGAGGAAAGAAAGAAAGAAAGGAAGAAAGAGGGGGGGGAAGGAGAGGGAAGAAAGGAAAAGGAAGGGAAGAAAAAAAAGAAGGGGAAAAAGAAAGAAAAAGGGAAAGAAAAGGGAAGAAAAAAAGGGGAAGAAAGGGAAAAAAGAAGAAAAAAGAAAAAGGAGAAGGAGGAGGAAGAAAAAAAAGAAAAGGGCGGGGAAAAAGAGAGGGAAGCAAAAAACCCTTAAACTTTTCGAAACCCTTTTGGGGGAAAAGGGAACAATATATTTTTTCAACCCACTTTAAAAACTTTGTAAATGTTTCTTCCCCCCTTTCCCCCGTCTTCCTCTCCCTATTCTCTTCCAGCATTTGCCTGTTGTCCCCTTTAAATACATGTGCTGGATTTTGCGTGATGGGGACTTGTTTGGCCAATATCAAAGCTTTACGCCCCCTCTACGGCCATCCCAAGTTCGATGTACCCTTCAAAGCCCCCAACTTTGGGGGAAGCGCCAAAAAATAACACAAAACAACACAAAGCGATACACACAACAACCAAAATTTAAAGACCCTATTTTCCTCTTTCCCTGTGTTGGTACGTATGTGGGTTGGGGGGTCATAGGGGTGTGGGGCGTATAGGGGTGTTTGGGACGTCTAGTGTGGGGTATGTCTAGGGTGTTTGGTATTTATGTGTGTGTGGGTATAGTGTGTTTGGTAGTCATGTTGGGGTTTGGGTGTATAGTGGGGTTTTGGGAGGTCATAGTTTTTTTGGGACGTCATAGGTGGTGGTAGTAAGTGTGTTTTTTATGTCATAGTGGTTTGGTAGTCTAGGTGTTTTGGGAGTCAAGGTGGGGGTATGTATAGGTGTTGGAGTATAGGTGTGTGGACTCATAGTGTGTTGGTACGTCATGTTGTTTGGAGTTAGGTGGGGTGGGGAGTCATAGTGTGTTTGGTCTCATAGTGTTTGGGTTTTTGGTAGTCATAGTTTGTTTGGTACGTCATAGTGGGGGTGGTATGTCATAGTGTGTTTGGTACGTCATAGTGTGTTTGGTACGTCATAGTGTGTTTGGTACGTCATAGTGTTTGTGTGTTGGTACGTCATAGTGTTTTGTGGTGTGGTACGTCATGTGTGTGTGGTATGTCATAGTTGGGGTTGTGGTATGTCATAGTGTGGTGTGGTATGTCATAGTGTGTGTGGTACGTCATAGTGTGTTTGGTATGTCATAGTGTGTTTGGTAGTCATGGTGTTTGGTATGTCACAGTGTGTTTGTGTTTGGTATGTTATAGTGTGTTTGGTATGTTATAGTGTGTTGGTACGTCATAGTGTGTTTGGTATGTTATAGTGTGTTTGGTATGTTATAGTGTGTGTGGTACGTCATAGTGTGTGTGGTACGTCATAGTGTGTGTGGTACGTCATAGTGTGTTTGGTATGTCATAGTGTGTTTGGTAGGTCATAGTTTGTTTGGTACGTCATAGTGTGTGTGGTATGTCATAGTGTGTGTGGTACCGTTCATAGTGTGTTTGGTATGTCATAGTGTGTTTGGTAGGTCATAGTTTGTTTGGTACGTCATAGTGTGGTGTATGTAAGTGTGTTGGTACGTCATAGTGTGTTTGGTAGGTCATAGTTTGTTTGGTACGTCTGTGGGTGTGGTAGGTCATAGTGTGTTTGGTATGTCATAGTTGTTTGGTACGTCATAGTGTGTGTGGTATGTCATAGTGTGTTTGGTAGGTCATAGTTTGTTTGGTACGTCATAGTGTGTGTGGTATGTCATAGTGTGTTTGGTATGTCATAGTGTGTTTGGTACGTCATAGTGTTTTTTATCAAATCCAATGTAATTTGTCACATGTGCCGAATACAACAGGTGTAGACTTAAACATTAAATGCTTAATTATGAGCCCTTCCCAACGATGCAGAGTTAAATAATAATAAAGAAAATGTGTTACACAAGAGGAATAAAATACACCAGAATGGAGCTATATACAGGAAGTACTAGTACCAGATCACTGTGGAGATATATACAGGGAGTACCAGTACCAGATCAATGTGGAGCTATATACAGGGAGTACCAGTACCAGATCAGTGTGGAGCTATATACAGGAAGTACCAGATTAATGTGAAGCTATATACAGGGAGTACCAGTACCAGATCAATGTGGAGCTATATACAGGAAGTACCAGTACCAGATCAATGTGGAGCTATATACAGGGAGTACCAGATCAATGTGGAGCTATATACAGGACGTACCAGTACCAGATCAGTGTGGAGCTATATACAGGGAGTACCAGTACCAGATCAATGTGGAGCTATATACAGGAAGTACCAGATTAATGTGGAGCTATTCACAGGAAGTTCCAGTACCAGATCGTGGAGCTATAAACAGGAAGTACCAGTACCAGATCAATGTGGAGCTATATACAGGAAGTACCAGTACCAGATCAATGTGGAGCTATTCACAGGAAGTTCCAGATTAATGTGGAGCTATTCACAGGAAGTTCCAGTACCAGATCGTGGAGCTATAAACAGGAAGTACCAGTACCAGATCAATGTGGAGCTATATACAGGAAGTACCAATCAATCAATCAATTTTATTTTATATAGCCCTTCTTACATCAGCTAATATCTCGAAGTGCTGTACAGAAACCCAGCCTAAAACCCCAAACAGCTAGTAATGCAGGTGTAGAAGCACGGTGGCTAGGAAAAACTCCCTAGAAAGGCGAAAACCTAGGAAGAAACCTAGAGAGGAACCAGGCTATGAGGGGTGGCCAGTCCTTTTCTGGCTGTGCCGGGTGAAGATTATAACAGAACCATGCCAAGATGTTCAAAAATGTTCATAAGTGACAAGCATGGTCAAATAATAATCAGGAATAAATCTCAGTTGGCTTTTCATAGCCGATCATTAAGAGTTGAAAACAGCAGGTCTGGGACAGGTAGGGGTTCCATAACCGCAGGCAGAACAGTTGAAACTGGAATAGCAGCAAGGCCAGGCGGACTGGGGACAGCAAGGAGTCACCACGGCCGGTAGTCCCGACGTATGGTCCTAGGGCTCAGGTCTCTCAGTTGGCTTTTCATAGCCGATCATTAAGAGTTGAAAACAGCAGGTCTGGGACAGGTAGGGGTTTCGTAACCGCAGGCAGAACAGTTGAAACTGGAATAGCAGCAAGGCCAGGCGGACTGGGGACAGCAAGGTGTCATCATCCTCTGTAGCTCAGCTGGTAGAGCACGGCGCTTGTAACGCCAAGGTAGTGGGTTCGATCCCCGGGACCACCCATACACACAAAAAAATGTATGCACGCATGACTGTAAGTCGCTTTGGATAAAAGCGTCTGCTAAATGGCATATTATTATTATTATTATTATCATCATGCCCGGTAGTCCTGACGTATGGTCCTAGGTCTCAGGTTCTCAGAGAGAAAGAGAGAACGAGATAATTAGAGAGAGCATACTTAAATTCACACAGGACACTGGATAAGACAGGAGAAGTACTCCAGGTATAACCAACTAACCCCAGCCCCCCGACACATAAACTACTGCAGCATAAATACTGGAGGCTGAGACAGGAGCGGTCCGGAGACACTGTGGCCCCATCCGAAGAAACCCCCGGACAGGGCCAAACAGGAAGGATATAACCCCACCCACTCTGCCAAAGCACAGCCCCCGCACCACTAGAGGGATATCCTCAGCCACCAACTTACAATCCTGAGACAAGGCCGAGTATAGCCCACAGAGGTCTCCACCACAGCACAAACCAAGGGGGGGCGCCAACCCAGACAGGAAGATCACGTCAGTAAACTCAACCCACTCAAGTGACGCACCCCTCCCAGGGACGGCATGAAAGAGCACC